CCTTCCCGGTACGTGGGCGAGCAGTCGCCCCACCCGCACGAGATGACTCCTCCCACTCCCCCGTGCCCCGCCTCCTTTGCACCCCGGTCTGCGCCTGCGCCGGGGCTCGGTTTACGCATGCGCGCCGCTCCATCTCCAGCGCCTGGACGCGGTTTCGGCGTGTAGGTTTAGGGGCCTCCCAGGCAGCCCGCGGCCGGAACTTTCTGGCAGATTCCACCTTCCTTACCTTCTGGTTGTCCAGGACTCATGGTTAAAACCACCCGAGGAGGTGCCGCAGAGCTGAGAACATTGTTCTGAATTATTACTATATATTTGTTTCGCACAGTAAAGATACTTTCACATCTGATTGCTATTGTGAGTTGTGCTGCCGCGGTTTGCTTTCTGTTTAACAAAAGATCAAAGCCAAGCGTCTGTAAGCCTAGCATTCTGGGAGGCAGAGGCAGGAGGATCACAAGTTGGAGCCCATTGAGATCCTGTCTCAAATAAAGGGGGCTGGGAATGTAGCTCAGTGCAAAGGTCTTGGATTTAATATCCAGTACTGGAAAAAAAAAGTGTTTTTTTTTTCTCCCGGTATCAGGAATCGAACTCACGACCTTGCTCTTGCCAGGCAGGCGCTGTGCCACTGAGCTAAATCCCCAGCCCCGAAAAAGGAAGTTTTAATAGTGATAAATGGAAAATTTAATTCTTTCAAGTCAAAAGTCGGAAAAAAAAAAAAAAAAGAAGCCGGGCATAGTGGCGCACGCCTGTAATCCCAGCACTCCGGTAGCTGAGGCAGGAGGATCGCCATGAGTGCGAAACCTGTCTGGGCTATGTAGTGAGTTCAAGGCCAGTCTGAGCTAGAAAGGGAGACCCTGTATCAACCAAAACAAAACGCATAGCTCAAGGCAGAACTGGAGAGTCGGACCCCACTACACTGGGTACTTCAGGGTTTGTAGAGGGAGGCCGGAGGCCAGAGGCCAGGCGGAGGCCAGCCCTGTGGAGTAGAAATCTGTGAGCCGGGTGTGTTGCAGCACCACGTTTGAGCAAGCAGCAGTGAGATTAATTCTAATGTTTTACCTCAGTAGATCCAAAATAGTTCAGCACGGACAAACGATACAGAACAATAATTTACTGGTGGTTTGTTTATGTTTGAGACTGGTCTTGCTGTGTTGCCTTGAGCTCTTTTGGGCTCAGGTTATCCTTCGGTTGGGACCGTAGGTCCAGGCCACCATACCTGGCTGAAGTACGGTAATTTTTTCACCTAAGGTTTTGATGCCCGTGTGTATTGTATGTTTGCGGCACCTCTGCCTTTGACCGGTCGCACTTCAAGTGCTGAGGAGCCGCTTGTGGCCAGCAGCTCCCGTATGTATCCGATGGTGCTGGTTTCGACTAAATGAAGCAGGAGGAAGTGCTGGAGAAGGAGCTTGGTGTGGGAATTCACGCGGAGGAGGTGGTCGCTGAACCCCTGGAGCTGCAGGCCGGCGCTCTGCCCGCGCTGCACGGCGCGCTCTTCCTCAGGCAGGCGCTGGTCAGGGTGAGGGCGTCTGCGACGTCGGGATTAGCATGTGTTCACCCGGCTCAGGCCGAAAGACTGAACAAGGATTGGTGGCTATGGGGCAAGTTGTGGAACAAGACTGGCGACGGGGACCCAGGCTTGGTGTGTGTGTGTGTGGGGTCCTCTGCCCTTTCATATCAGGGAGAGGGGCTGGGAGCAAAAGATGACCCAAGGGAGAGTAGGAGAACGTGCCGGGTGTGGTGGTGCATACCTGTAACCACAGCTACTCAGGAGGCTGAGGCAGGAGACCTACAAGTTCAAGGCCTGCCTGAACAATTTAGGGAGAACCTGCCTCAAAATTAAAAGGGCTGGCGGTGCCCCTCCGTGGTGGAATGCTTGCACAGCATGTGTGAGCTGCGGGTTCAATCTGCAGTACTAGCATTTAAAAAAAAAAATAAATAAAAAAACAGAACAGAAAAAAGAAAAGAAAAGAAAAAAAAAAAAAACAACCCAGGTCCTACAGCTCAAAAAGAGGGACATTTTAGTGCCTAGGAGCTTAATCTTTTTGTTATTTTTGCAGTAGCAGGGGACCACACCCAAGAGCACTCTACCCCTGAGCTACAGACCCAGCCCTTTTTATTTTTTGACACAGTCTCTTTAAATTGCCCAGGTGGGACTTCAGTTTGTAATCCTTCTGCCTCAGCCTGCCTAAGAGCTGGGGCCACAATGTGAGCACCGTGCCCAGCTGGGCGATCCGTCGTTTAAACCCTCTCAAAGCACAGAGTGGCTCAGAGCTTCCTTGGGAAGGAAGCTTTTTTCCTCTCGGCGACTGCGACTCTGGACTGGGCGGCGCAGCGGTTGAAGAAGCGACCTAAAAGGCGGCATCTTTGTAAATATACTGCCCTACTCGCCCCCAACGGCTGGCCAGTAAAGCTGCAGGACAAGCGCGCCCTCTGCCGGCAGGGCGGAGAAGCCTCCTCACTGAAGCCCAGACCGTGGCTCTTGGAGAGATTAGTAGTCGTGGTTACTGGAAATCCACCAGGCTGCTCGCCCCGCAGCTGCTTCTGCAGAGGTTGGTGAGCGATTGCCCCGGACTGCCAGACGGACTTGAGGTTTCAGAGTGCGGCCTGTGGTACCCTTGAGGAAGGCGAAGCCTGCCCGCTGGGTTCATCTGAAGACGTAAATCTGTGCCACCCACCACCCAAAGGAAGTTCTATCGCGCCCAGACATCCAGCTGGCCTTCTGGGTGCAGGAGAGAGCTTAGGAAAAGGCAGTTTTGTGGCGTTTTGTAGTAAATTCCGTCAAATAGTTTGTGACTCTTTTTTCTCTCTCTCTTTTTTTTTTCTTTTGGTCTCTTTGAGACGGGGTCTCGCTATGCAATTCAGGCTGGCCTTGAGCTCACTTTGTAGCCCAGGCTGGTCTCCAACTTGCAACGATCCTCCTGCCTCACCCTCCCGAGTGCTGGGATTACAGACGTGTGCCACCATGCCCGGCTGTGACTCTTTTTGTAGGAAATTGTTTCTGATATGTTGCATTTGTATTTAGCGATTCCATCAAAATGGGTGTGAAAAGTGAGTCACAGGCCTCAGGTATGTGAGCACCACTGCATCAGGAGATGCAGAGGGTACAGCTAATAGTCTATGCTTCTGGTGACCCAGGCTGGCCTAGAACTCCCAGCAATCCTCCTGCCTCAGCTTCCCGAGTACAGGCATGTACCACCTCACCTGGCTTGGTGGTGTTTCTGATGCTGACGACTTGTTGGGTAGCTGTTAAAATGCTAGAGTTGACAAAAGGTGGACAGGGTGCTTCTGCAGCAGAACTAGTTATGACTTGATCCAGGTGTTTAACAGTCGGGGCTGTTAGGTCCTATATATCCCTGAGATAAGTGTGGGCTTTTCCAGGCTGAAGATAAAAGGTCTTAACCACAGTGTAACTTAAAGTTTCCCCAAAAGGGCACCTGGAAGCTATAGCATGTGCTACGTGCATTTACAATTGCTATGTTATATATTGTAGTGTCGATATTTCTAAATTAAATGTTTTACAAGTGCTGGAGAGTCTTGTCATTAAGGTATGTGTAATCTATTTGTTTTTAAAATTTAATTGCCACATTTTATTTTTTTTATTGCCACATTTTAAATATGATAACATTCTTCCTAGAGAATTTGTACCTGTATATGAAATATCTTGCTTTTTTCCCCCCACTCCCCTCCCCTCCCTTCAATCCCTCTTTCCCTGGTGCATGTAGGTTAGAATCCGGTTGGTTTTCTCCTTTTTTCTTTTGTCTTTTTGACACAGGGTCTTGCTATGCAGTTCAGACTGACCTTGAGCTCACTTTGTAGCCCAGGCTGGCCTCAGACTCGCAGCGACCCTCCTGCTTCAGTCTCCCGAGGGCTGGGATTACAGGCGTGAGCCACCACACCTGGCTTTTTTTTTTCTCCTAACTAGAGCACACTTGCGGTCATAGTAGTAAAATGCTATGTGGACTCCTTGCGTAAACCCTCACTCTGATGCCGTAACCAACGCTCTAGCCGCCCCAGCGCACACCAGCAGGACGTTCTCTTTGTAAGGGCTCTCAACAGCATCATCTGTTACTAATGTTCTAGTTAGTGCAGCTTTTCATTGTGTTGTGGTTGACCTTATAATTAGGATTTTTCTTCTCTACTAAGGAAATACCAAGGCTCGTTCTTCCCGTGTGGTGTTTAGTGTGAACCGCTGGGGCAGCAGTATACCGCTCCACCTCTTCGCGCTCTGCCAGTTAAGATGGTGTTGGGTTAGATCTCACCTGGTTGTTGTCCTGGGGAGCGACAGCCTTCCAAGTGATTTTAAAATTTATCCTATTGAGTCTTCAGGTCAATTATACACGCTGACTAAATTTACAAATAAACTTATCAAAACAAAAACCAAACCTCTTTCAGGTGGTGACCTTCCTGGCCACCTCATTCTGGGGCCAAGGAGCAGGCTCCTTAAATCCCCGTCCTCCCTCCTGCTGCCACACACGGGCACTTGCGCCCTGCTGCAGGAGGGGCTGTGCTCGCACTCCCCTCTGGGACTGTCTGACCAGTACTTCCTAGGAGCGGGAGCCCTGGATCTGGAGGCCGAGAGGGTCTACCCTTCCCCTCATGGGCTTCTCAGAGCTACGAGGGCAAGAGGACACTAGATCCTCAGTTCCCCCAAAACGAACGCTTGTTTTACCTGGCTGAGCCTCGCGCCCGGCCCCCACCGCACCTGGTGCTGCGGAGAAGCGTGGGCAGACCCGGGGGACAGTGTTTTGGGGCTCTCCGGCTCCCCACATAGAGCAGTGGGGGCCCTGTAGTCAGGGAGAAAAATGGGATGGGACACACACAAGCCCAGGCACACATCAACCACGGAGCTCTCTAAGACAAGCCCCCGGGGAGAGGAAAGGCAGCAAGGTCTGGACACTGGGCTCCAAAGTCAGCGCAGAGATGCAGCGGCCTGCGGCTCAGCGGAAATGCCGCTCCTCACGCACCCAGAAGACTTCAGGCCAGATCAGAAAGACACAGCCAGCCTGGCTTCAGCGTCATTTATTACAAAACAGCGAAAATCAGTGTATAAAATAAAACATCCCCGACAGCCCGGGGTACACCCGCAGCAGCCTGCACCACTCGAAGACCCTTCCTCGGGCGCCGTGGGTATGGAAGTTCTCAGATTCGGAGGTCTCCAGCCAGGAGGGCGCTGTACCGGGCAGGGGTGAGGGGCAGGTAGGCACCCGCGGTCTGGTCCAGGACGTAGAGCGGGTCCGACAGTGCGCTCGGGTCAAAGCCTTCGCTGGCCATCCGAACCTTCTGCTGTTTGAAGGTCTCGGTGGTGGCCAAAGACTCCTGGGAGAGGGAGGCGGGCAAAGGGAGTTGCAGGAAAAGAGCTTCTGTGAGTCGGTTCAGGGGAGGGGGAGTGGCTTACATCTTGCTAAGCGGCAAATCCGGGGTAAGGGCGCACTGTTGAGGTCAAGGGGAGGAGAAGGCAGGGAAGACAAGGCGCCAGGCCAGAAGGCGGGGGCAGGAAAGCAGGCGGGAGAAGCGTGTCTGGGGAAGAGCCGGTCTCTCCCTCACAGGACGTGCTGGGGAGCTGGGACACGCGGGCTCAGGGCCGCGAGGCTGGTTACCTGGAGCCGCAGGAACCGAGGCCGGGCATAGGGTGGCAAGTTCTCAAGCACGTGGGCGTAGAGCTGCCCGAGGTCCAAGGCGTGGGGAGGGCGCAGAACCAGGGCTGCCATTCCAGCCCTGCCTTCGTGTCCTGGCGAGTGTGGGGGCAGTGTGAGCCACTCTGGCTGCCCCCAGGAAGGCCTCGTGCTCCCCGTGCCCCAGCATGATCAATTCGGGGAGGTGGGCTGGGCGCCTCCCCCACTTCCACACCTAGGCACCTGGCACAGTGACTCCATAGATGTTCACCTCCTGAAGGAAGTCCAGGGCCTCGAAGACCTCTGCCACCTCGGTTGTGGCCACATTCTCTCCCTTCCACCTGTCAGGACAGCGGAGATCGGAAACTAGGCGTCAAGGAACAAGGGCTTAGGAGCCTGGCGCGGAGAGCAGGTCAGAGGCAGGGACTGCACACGGAGGAAGTCTGAGAAGGAGAATTTGGATGCGGACCTGGGAGGACCGACCAGGTGGGAGCTGAAGTGCTTGAGTTTGGGTCACAGCGATCAGACGTCCAGAAGGAAGAATCAGAGTTATGGGGAGGTACCTGAAGGTGTCCCCAGTCCGATCATGGAAGCGAAGAAAGCCTTGGTCGTCGCAGACCAGGAGGTCGCCCGTGTTGAAGAACGTGTCCCCCGGCCGGAAGACGTCCCGCAGCAGCTTTCCCCGGGCCAGCTCTGGGCCTCCCGCGTAGCCCAGGAAGGGCGACTGCGGGCTCACTGGGGCCACCAGCAGCCCCGGCTCACCTGGCAGAGTCCCTGGGGTCAGCAGGGGGTGCCCACCTCACCCGTAGCCTCCCAGACCCCACCCCATTGAATCCCTTAGTTCGAACCCTCCTTTGCCAGCTCTGCCCCCCCCACCCCCGCACGGGGCACAAACCTGGAGCTGTGGCCACACAGTGCCCCCGGGCATCCCGAACCGGCTCCCCGGAGGTGACGTCACAGCGAATCAGAGAGAAGGGGAAGAGGTGCTGGGGGAGGGAGAGCGGGTGCTGGTCCTTCGGGCTGCACGAGCCCACCCCACCAGCACCCCGCTGTTCCAGGGCTTCCAGTCTCCTCTCTGCCCCTCACCTTGTACAGCCAGGAAGCGCGCCCCACGGCACCCCGCTGCCTGGTGTAGTTGAAGGTGGCCACGTTGCCCTCAGTCAGGCCGTACGTCTCCAGCACCTGCAGGGGCCCGAAGCGCCGCACGAAACGCTCCCAGGTGTCTGGGCGCAGCCCGCTGCCCACGGCCAGCCGGATCTTATGGCCGCGTTCCGCCTTGTGCTGTACGGGAGCGGGGTGCCACACAAGGAAGCCAGCTCTCGCAGGCGAAGCCGCAGCCCCCGTTCCCCAGAAACCCCGCAGGCAGCCCCTGCAGCCCCCGTGTGGGAGCGGCAGCGCATCTCGGGCTCCCGCGCCGGCCTCACCACGCCCTCCTTCCTGCCTCCTCTCCCTCCGCTCCCGGACGCCGGGCCCCCGACCCGGCCTGCGGGGCCCACGCACCGGAGGCTGGTTGACGAGGTATCGGCACAGCTCCCCGATGTACTGGAACACGGTCACCCTGTGCTGCTGGCAGTCCTCCCAGAACTGGCCGGCGGAGAACTTGGACTTCAGCACCACTGTGGCCCCTGCCAGACGGACGGGGAAGGTGAGGTCAGGCGCACAACCTCCCCTTCCCAGCCACTGGCCTCCACGGCGGAGCGGCTCCCCGGGAAGGCCCTGCTGGAGAACCGCCCCTGCAAGGCCGTGGTGGCCCGCCTCCCTCACCTGCGCCTTGACCGGCTAATGCCCCTTCCCGGGGTCCCATCCCCAAACGTCCCATTCCTTCGGTCTCGACCTCAAGTCCCCCCTTTTCTCTATGTGGCGTCTTCCTGGAATGATACAACCCCCCGGACTGTGGCGTTCGGTGAAGGGCAGGATCTCTCCGGCTGCCTGGGTAACATTTGCAGCTGTACCAGGAGCTCCTACAGTAACCCTGCCTCCGCTTCCTCTGCACTCCCCACCCGAAGGACTCGGGCACCCCCCCCGGGAAACACCCTTTGCTGGAGGAGTGCCTAAGGCGCGCGGGGAGACTGACCAATGCCCAAGCAGCCCACGATGCCCAACAGGGAGCCGGACATGTGGTAGAGAGGGAGGGGCAGGTAGATCACGTCGTCCTGGTGGACACCGCACAGCTGGTAGAAGCCCTGGCACTGCAAGACCTTCAGATGACTGATCCGAGCAGCCTTGGGGAGGCCTGCGGGCGGTGGGACGGGGTCAGGGGCGAAGCTGAGGCTCCTGCCGCCTGCTGAGTTTCCCACAGAGAGGCTGAGGAGGACAGAGGTCAGGCTGATCCAGGAGGCAGGCAGGTGATTGGGGGTAGCGGAGAAAGGAAAAGCCGGAGGACGAGGGAAAGATGCGTCGCTGCGCCGGGCACCTCTCTGGGTTATCTGAAGGGGCGGCCTGGGAGCTGTCACCCTCACCCGTGGTGCCAGAGGTAAAGATGTACAGGCACGTGTCTGTTTGGCTGCTGGGGGCGGAGAGGTAGCCTGGCACCGGCTCGTCCGCTTCGGCTGCCACCTCAGCCAGCACATCGTGCACTCCAGCAAGGCGGGTTTCAAGGCCTGCAGCCCACAGGTGGAGCCCCAAGGCTCTCAGGGCTGGCAGGTCTGGCTCCAGGGATTCCAGGAACTCTGGAAGGGTTGGGAAACAGCTCCACAGCTCTGCCGCCACCCAGAAGCCCTCCTCGGCCCTGGCTTCGCGCCGGGGCTGCTCACGGTTTCGGGTGATGGGCACGGCATCGCACGTCGAGGAAGCCTTGGGAAACAGGCTCAGCAGCACCCCTTCGCCAACCCAGGGATTCCTACCCCACTCACTGCGGAGCCCCAGGGAAACCGTTCCGCGTTGCGGGCCGCTTCCGACTTACCTGGGGCCAGCACCAGGGCGCGCGCGCCGCAGCTGCGGAGGCAGTGGAGCAGGGGGCCCCGGCGCAGGGCGGTGGGCACAAAGGCCGTGCGCAGGCCGGCCTTGGCCAGCCCAAACCAGAGCCACAGGAATTCCGGGCTGGAGGGGAGGAGCAGTGCCACGGTCGCCCCAGGTGCCAGCGGCGCCGCGGCTGCAGCTCCGGCTGCCCGCTCGTCTCCGCGCTCCGCCGGCGCCGCGCCG